GGGGGGCGGTTGGAATATTTTTGGGTGCGTGGATGGATGGGTGGGGGTGGCGGGGGAAAGGTTTATAATATATTATATTGTAGAGGTGAGATGAGAAGTTTGGGAAGTTTGGAATGATTGATTGATTGATCAGGTAAGATACGGGACGGAGGGAGGGAGGAACAAGGGGGTACGAAAGATGATGATGAATCTCCGAATTCTAGAGGGTGCCTAGAATTCCTGTCATGGAGTAGTGTCTCGGGTTATTATTTCCCGTATGGTTCAGCTTGTCTTATAACTTGACTTCCGGGATCTCCTTCTCAACAGTATTAGATCACCTATGAGGGAGGGGGGGCTGGCTGTCGTAATGTGCGCGCGCTCCCGTGCTTACTTACGCCCTCCACGTTGCGAGTAGGGTTCTCTTGATTGAGTGGGGGCATGAGATAACGGGGTTCTTTTGCGGTGAGGTTTGATAAGTTCTGGAAAACGCTTCATCAAGAGATGATCTTGTCACTTTTGCTATTCGAGAGACGTCAAAAGACGGTAGATATGTTCCATTTGTAACTATGTCCGCGACCGCAGACACCCAATAAGAATAAGGAAGCTTCACCCGAGGGCTAAGCAGCTCGGGTCACTATCAAAAGCAAGAGCACGCGATGCACAGGTATCATAGGGTGGCATGGAGGCCAAATAAAAACCAACAGCAATGCAAGAACAATAGGCAAAAGACCAAAAGAAACAATCCGTCCTGTTGCCCAACCCAATATCGCAACACAAGAGCGAGAGTAAAGGACCCTAAACAAGGCCCTAAACCATGATACCCATCCCTGAACATGCTAGACTCGTGTTCTGCGAGCAACGCCTGGCCCATAAACATTACCAGAAACCAAACCACCTCCAAATGCAAGAACGCCTGAAAACAGTCGCAGAGGATTGTTGACAAAGTAAAATGTAGGGTGCAAAAAATGGGGAATAGAAGTGAAAGTAGACCCGTGTGTGCTCCGTAATAATATCCCCGTCTCCGCAGTGCCGAGACCACTGTAATACCCAGAAGCTAGAAATTGAAAGACCCCATCTTATTGAGTGAGATCCATTCCGTATTCGTCTTCCTCTTTGAAGCCGACAGAATCGGCTCCACTACCTCCGCTGTTGTGGCCGCTCCAGTATTGACCTGGACCACCCATACCAGCCTGGCTGGTATCGCCAGTGCTGTGATTGTCTGGACTTAAGGATGTGTCAAGCTGACCATGCGTCGAGCCACCGATTGGATCGCCCTTAATGTCGGTATGTTTTGGGACTCTTAGACCACTACCCGGATGTCGCGAATAAGAGAAGTTGCTTCCATCGTTCTTGATCATCGCGTCCATTAACTCGGTATGCATGCGCCTCTCATCTTCTGTCTGTTCAAACGGAAACGTCCCACCCAATTCGGTGATGAGATTGGCGAGATCTTCTTGCTGTTGAAGCTTGAGATGGAGCATCCACATCAAATCGCGAGTCCAGCTCACTGCACCGTTAAGGATGTCACCTTTGTTTGGGCCCTTATCCTTTTCCTCGATTGGAATTCCAGTAGTGATGTTGCCAGCCGTTGCCCGCCTGGCACCCGGTCCAGCAAGGCCGGACGTAGCCCGGGGAGGACTCATGTCATTGGGAGGTGCAGACAGCCCTGCTAGAGTAGGCGAAAGTGGTGAGTTGTTCTGCAAAGCCTTGCGGACTTTCTCATCTTCGAGACGATGAAGAGGGACAAGATGACTCAATTCCTGAATCCTTTCGTTGATATTGTCCCGCCTTCTGCGCTCGACGAGATTATGAGATTCCCTTCTTCGTCTCCGCTTCATTTCCTGGGATTGTAACGCTGGTGCGCTGCTTGTCTGGTGGCCATTGTTTAATTTCGTTGGCATTGATGCCCCCTTTAGGATGTCCGAGATCTGGGGGTTTGGATGTACTCCCTGAATCGGCGAGGAGAAATCTGAACCGGGAAAGGAGGCTAGGCTACTTGGTGTCTGGTCCCACTGGCCCGATAGGGTTTTCTGATGGCGATGTGACTGAGATGTTCGAATAGGCTGCGTTGGGAAGCTCGACCCTTCAGCTGAACCAATATTGAGAGATGAGATGGCAGGGGTCTTGGGAGTAAGAGGACTTCTGGTGTTTGAGCCTTTTCGTCCTTGCATCACTTGGGAGAGTCGAGGCCGTTGCTTTGCAAAACCATCAGCCGATCCACTGTGCAAGTCCGATCCGGGAAGCGGCGAGCCATTATAAGAAGCGGGTGACTGTAAGGAGCTACCAAAGTTATGTTGTGGCTGCATGTGACGAAACTGAGCATGATTGAAATTGTGAACAAAGGGACTCTGGATTGGGTCGCCGTCTGGGGTATTGGAGAAGCCATTTATGTGATTTGGATCGACTGACAAGGAGCCAGTGTTGTTTCCGGAATAGATGGCTTGAGAGAAGTCAAAGTCTACGCCAAAATCCTGCCCGTTGTTCTGCATACCCGTCTGGTTGGAATGCGAATCATTCATTGGTCCAAGGCTGTCGAGTAATTCATCATCCCCAAAAGTAGATATGCCTTTTGAGAAGCCGGTACTAGAGTTGGACGCTTGTGTGTTAAAGTTGTTTTGGAACTGGGCTCCGTATGCACCGCCATTCGGAATAGAAACCCCGTTTCCACCCATCGTGAGATCGCTGGGGTTTATGCTTCCTCCATGGGAGCCGAACTGGTTGAAGTGTTGCTGGGGCATATTGAAACCTTGTTGGGGACCTCCCATGTATCTTTGGTTGTGGGATGTGAAGAATTGATCGTCAGCCTCTTCTTTGATGTATGGGCTGGACGCTCCCGTGCCAGCCATTTTGGCTCCTCCCTGAAAATGTACTCAATGGATTTTGGGTGTCGCCAATCAATGAAGGCCGTTGATATATATTTGTGGGTGCTTCTTATTGTGAGGAATTGCGAACGTCTGTACTGTGGGTTGGATATTAGCTACTGCTATGGCTTTAAGAGAGCCATCCGGGGAAAGAGCAAGCAAGAGGAAATCCGAATCCCGAGCTCCCAATTGTATGACACACATGTCATCAATCCAACAGAGACTACTCAGCTCTATTTCGTGGATATATTGGAACCCTAACGAACGAATGGATATTTCTATGGTGGAATCGGAAGACAATACGCACTTATTTCGGCGGGGTTGTCGCGATAGCGGCAGTTGAAAGTAGGAGGGTTTCTATCTCTAGGCTCTTGAACGCAGGTGTAAAGATAAGTGACTGCGATGGTTTTCGATGTATGTAGGACTCTGTCGAGAGGGTTTCTGACTCGACGTATATCTGCGAAGGCGGGCGCACTTTCCCGAAGGTTATTAAAAAGGCGGCGTTGTCTAATAAAATAAACGTCAATTCAATTACCTGCCATGGGTACGAGGACGCGAACAAGGACAGAAAAATAGGGAACAGGACAATTGGTGGGCGAGGCGGCTACCTACCTGAGGAGGGCTGTGAAGCACGGCCAGCTCGACAATGAGTAGGGGAGGTATTGTTGCCCAAACAGCAGCCTCACATAGGCGGTCGAGGGATAATACGGTGAGGATTGGGTCCGGCTCTGGGTCGCCGAGTGTCGTACAAATGATGATGGAAGGCGGGACACCGATAGAAGAAGAATATGGGGTCGCGGTGCGAGGTGGCACAGGTCGATAGCTGAAGATGCGCGAAGGATTCTCGACAAAAGGAGAGATGTCCTCTCTTTCGTGTGTTGGTGGACTTGGACTTGGCCTTAGTCGCACCGGTGCTGGTTGAAGGGTATGAGTCGGCGACGTAAAATCTCGGAGGTTGAAGGTGAGGGTGAGGATGAGGTTGCCCACTGCTCCCGCAACTGACAGTCCAGGGCGGTGAAAAGCAAAGCACTGCACAGGAATGGATGTACAGGGGAGGCTATTTATTGGATGTGGAGCGTGGGCACTGGGCGTCGCGGAGACTGGAGAGGCAAATCGACGGAGCCCGAGGGGAGAGTTTCGGTGTGGATGCAAAGGGAGCGAATGGAGGCGCGGCTACGCCCGACGTCACGTCTCCCAGGCGAGCGAGTCAAGGAGCGGCGCGACGGCTGAACCACAGTCAGTAAAGGACGAACTTGGAATCAAATATAAAATATAAAATAAAATTCATATCAAGGCCCGCGCCCAACGTCAACCTCCACCGGTGTGTCCTTACTCTGTGCGCGTTAAGTAGGCAGGGCCAGTACGGACGTATGGGACGGTCGGTACGGGGCGTGCGGTGGAGCTATTCTTGGGGATCGCGGGGTAATAGGAGAATCGCAGAAAAGGTTTAATCAAGTCCTGAGTAATTATTCGACGCTTCCAGAGGGGCCAAACGCATTGAAGCCTGAAGATAGCAGAGTAAAGCGCGCGGCCTCTCGGGATGATAAGGGGGGCGCGGCCAGAAGAGACGATGGGTCTGTATCGAATCCTGGTCCTGACCTTGGTGCTTGATATGTCGGTCTCTCTCTCTCTCTCTCTCTCTCGAGACTGCTTCTGGTCTTTGAGATAACCCCGAGGGTCTTGACTCTTGACCAAGTCTTGCGAGGACGGCGGATGTTGGTGCTGGGGGATCTCCGCTCGTTGTCTTGTCTTGTCTTGCCTTGCCTTTGTGCTGTCCTGTATTGTATGTAGAGTGTTGACCTTCTGGGGCTGCCCGTGCCACTTGCAAGTGGTCCAAGGCAGATGCGCAGGAGTAGTAAGTAAGATGGGACTTGGGATTATTACTATAGTATCGGGATTCAGACGGCTTTCGATAAGAAGAGGGAAGGGCCCCGCGGACAGTCTTCTTTAAATAAACCATGAATAGGACCCCAGTGACAGAGAAGGTTGCCAGCCCCGAACCTCCTGATTCACGCTCTTGACCTCCTCTTCCAAGTTCTCGCTGCTCGAGGTCTCAGTTGGACTGTTGACTCTTGCCTGGGAGCAAGAGATCTCTCCCTCCATCATCTCTCCCTCCGCGCCCGCGACGCCCGCAACGCCCGCGACGCCCTCCCACTCTCCACCCCCCCCTCCGTCCTGGGCGCTGCCCCCCCAGCTTGCCTGTCTGCCCTCTGCCCTCCACCGCGCTCCCGCCGCGCAGCCAATCGCCCGCGCGCGCCTCCCCCCCTTCTCCTGTCTGCGAAGACATTATCGGTCATCGAGGTGCATCTTGATCACAAGCCAATCGCAAGGCCGCCCATTCCAGCCCGCGCCCCCTGTCTAGCTGCGAGTTCATTGGTCATTGGACACCCTCGAAGCGCTCTCTCGCTAAGAGCCCGCCGTATTCTTTCCTTTCTACACGGGAGATCAACGCACGACATACATACCTGCAGGCCCAACCTCAGGGAGAACGCTCAAGTCCTGTCCCCACGTCTTAAGTCGCCCCCAAGTACGGCCGATAACGAAAGCCCTCCTCCGTTGCTCCATTCCCGGCCCGGCTCTTTCCATCGCTATCCGTCGGTATATCTTCTTCCCCCCCCAGTGGAGCGCCCGCCCTCTGTCCGCTACCGCTGCACGAGCCGGGTTGTGACAACCTTAAGGTTCATCTACCGGAGATCTACTACGACACTACCACTACTGCTACGACTGTTGCTACCATGGCATCCTCCTCGTTCAGAGATTCTATGAACTCTCTCGGGTGGTCACGCCGCGAGCCCGATGTCCCCGTCACCACCAGTCAGCAGACGGGTCTCTTATCGTCGATCAAGTCCTTGAATCCGTTTGGCGATGGTGGCTATGGCCGTCTCCCAACTACGGAGTCTGCTGGGGCACCGCTGCCGGCTCGTAATCGACGTGAAGAGGACGAAGCCTGGTTTGCCTGTGAGTCACCCCCCGTTACTGAGCTCTTGTTCACGTCCACGTTCCACTGTCCCTGCGTTAGCCACCCTCGCGGGCCATGTGCTTCATGCAGCAGCGGTGGCTGGACTGTTGTTCGCATCGCCTTGGACTGATTACGAAGATACTGACGTCGATGTTCTGATAGTGAGTAGATGGGATCGGCTTCTGATCTTTGGTGGCTGCAACCTGGGCGCGCTTGCATGCTTCGTCCTCGTCTTTGCATTATGGCCACTAATGATGGCAAAGCCCAGGAAATTTGCTATTCTGTAAGTCTCGCCCTCCTTGTCCTTGGACGATACCCTGTGTCGGCCATATCTTCCAGCCTGAGACACTCTCCACCTCTTCGGCAGGATCACCCTGCTGCAGCTACCCGCTATACATGCATTTGCGTCTCATTCTGCTACACCCCCCCAAGAAGGTGTTTGAAAGCCACGATGAGACTCCCACTTATTTGGCGAGAGATCTCCCACGGCTCTGAATCAAGTTCTCAATATTTACACGGGCTGACTGTGCGCGCGGGACACACCAGATGGTCTTTAGGTTCAGCCTTGTTCTTAGCCTCCTGGGCCGCCATAATGGGTCCTTGGACCTATTGCCAACACCTGATATCAACACCACGTCTCCCCTTTACGGCCGCCTATTTTGGATCTATTGGCCTTACGTTGTACTTCAGTCTGGGTGTAAGTGTCCTTCCTGCACGGGAGAGAAGACCTGGTTCGTCTCGCTAACTGAAGATCACGTGTAGCTTGGAAACACCTTTCTCACCTTCATCTCGTCGATCGTACAGCTGGCTTGCTTGATTTGGTATCTGGTCAGCTACTTTCCCATGGGGTCGAGCGGTCTGCGGCTCGCGACGAGCTTTGGGGCTCAGCGAGCTGCGGCATGGATGACTGGGTAATGAAGGCATGTCTGCAAGCCTCTGATGGAGTTTTGATGGATATGTATGCGTGTACTGTAGCTGGTCATGATTATCGATTCTCTCTTATCGACTCTCTTATCGATTCTCTCAGAACTCAAGCAGCACCTGAATCACGTTTTGTACCCCGCCCTTCTCAGTGTCATGTGACTATCGGCTCTCATCCAACCCCCGTGTCTGCCAATGCCAACGGCAAGTCACCACGGGAAGCTGCCTCGAGAATGGAACTGCCATGCTCCAGATTTTGACTTTTGATGCCTGATATTCTTGTACAGGTAATTGAATAACATGTAGATATCGCGCCCAGATATCGTCCCTGTGGAAGAGCCGGTTGTCAAGCTCTGCCATTACGAACGGGGTATGTATACGTAAATGCACCGTGCAACATGAAGAACCCCACGCGGCTTGCTTCGGGGTCGTCAGAAAGTCAGAAAAACTCTCCCTTTCTTCATCTATGTAGTACCTGTTTTGGATGGAAGTGTACCTAGATAACAGAAATTAGTCCGCGTACACCTTCCCCGATGCCTTTGGCCTTCGGTGTTCTACAGTCCCTTCAAATCCAAGAGCGCGTAGTCGCCGTGCTGTCATGGCAATCGTGATCCCTAGAAACCGTGTTCCAAAAATATAAACCCAAGACTGAGATAAATATCCAAAAACTTCACTTTAAGCGTCACTTTCTCCTTGGAGGAAGAGACTCAGAGCTCGGTATCATAAGAGCATTCCATTCGCACGAGATTTCGTCAAGTCGATCGGGCCCGAGGAATTGTGACGGATCGACGTACATAATACGGGTCTTGCCATTGAGGCTCTGCTCCGCAGGAGAATGAGAAACTGGACAATACAAGCACGAGGATTGGCCGGCCCGCAGTGGAAGAGCACCTCTGTCTGCCCAGCGCCGGCCTGGCTATATCAGGCGTTGTCCTTTTTGCATCGGTCGGTCGCGTCTTTATTCGCAGTTGTCACAAATTGTCAAACGCCAAAATTAATAATCGGTGCCAGACGTGACCCGTAAAGTACCCGCACTGTTCGGCAAGGAGGCCCGCTCGCACAGAACCGGAGCGCTCAATCTAGAGTAGCAGATAAATTTTTAGGAATATTCCATTCAATCCGCCCAGCAGCCCTAACTACCTAACGACCTCACTTTTTCCACTCCCCGTTTTCCATCTTCCCTTCCCTCCAACTCCGACTCCCGGGTTTTCCTTGAGCCTTGAGGTCGACGGTCATTACTCCGTTTTCTTCCTCCCCATCTCTGCACTTCGCACCCTTTGTTGCCGCTTCTTACGAACCAGGAAACGTGCCACAGAGTTCCCGACGATACCTGCCTGTGGTAGATGTCAAACACCTGCGGAGCAACTCTCTCTTGCTGATTTGTTTGGGTCTCACTGGAAGCCACGGACATCTGTTTAGGCTTGCTGGTGCTCTCTCCCTCCAGAGGTTCGTCGCCCCTTCAATGCCCTGCTGGAGCGTTTTCGTCTTCGCCGGATTATTCGCGCAACGGCAGAATCTCCTGCCCTCAGTCCACTTCTCTCGCGTGCCTTCAAAGCAGAGGCATCACAACATGCAACCATCCAGCTAACACTCCCTGTGGACTGTGCAGATATTCAAGCCTTGAGTTCCGTTCACGCCAGCACTCTGTGTGTCATCGACAAAACATCGTTTTTTTCGTCGATCTACGCGAGTGAATTCTCCTACGTCTTCTATCCACAACGGCCTCGGGTGGTCAACAATTGGGCTTCGATACCTCCGCCAAAGACACAAGGATCTTCTCTCGTCATCAAGCTCTCTACGATCGCGCGACCGAGTTTTCCTGACACGGGATTTCGACCCGCTCTCGAGTTACAAACGCCGCATCCTCCTCAAGTCTTCACATTCAGAGAAGGATCGCCGTTTCATCGCCACACATCTGCCAAACCCCATAGTCTCGAATAACTGATCAGCGTAGTGGGCTCGCAGTGCGGGGAGGTTGAGCATACCTCTCCGGACATCCTTTACTGGGGGTGATTTAATATCACTATCCAGAATTTGTTGAAGAGACTGGCGAGCAGTCGCTCTCCTTTGGAGGAGCCTACCTCAGCGACATCTCCCAAATCATATTTGGGCCTTATTCACAATGAGTTCAACCGAATCTAGAGCGCCTGTACAGGCTACCCCTACTCCCCCGGTGTTTTCCTACGCTCAGGCTGCCAAGGGACGCGCGACGGCATCAGCAGCTTCAGTGGCTTCAACTAGTCAGACGAGTCAGGCAACATCTGGTATCAGCACACCGGCGAAGGATGCAAATTCCGCCGTGCATACTCCATCAGCTTCGGTTAACGGAGCAAACTCTGGTTCCGAGGGCGCTGGAAAGGCTACGAATGGAAGCTATGACGCGGTTACAAAGTCAGATCCACTGGGGTTGGGTATGGATTCCGAGTCGAAGTCATCAACATTGATAAATTCAGGTTCCTCGCCTGCTTCGCCCAGCTTTGGAACAGCTTCCACTTCAACACTTCCGAAGGAGGAAGACCTTACAGTATCTGGCTCCGCTCAGTCCGATTCGGTGTGGGACCGACATACCCAATCTGCAAACGGGACAGACAAGTCTGCAGAGGCACCGGAGGGACGAAAAGGCAAGAAGGGCAAGAAGCAGAAGACTGCTGAGAAGGATGCAGAAAAGGAAAAGGAAGAAGAAAAGAAGCCGGAGGTTCTTGTAGCTGCTCCTCCACCCGCCGTGAACATCTGGCAGCAACGGAAGGAGGCGCAAGCGCTCAAGGTGAAGTCCAGTCCACCGATAGTCCAGAATTCGCAGGCCTTTGAGAATGGTGCTGTCCAGCCAGCCGACCCGAAGAGACGCGGAAAGGCAAGCGGCCCCGATGATGGAGACAAGGGCTTGGATGCAACAGTGAATGGAGTTGCAAAGGAACCAAGTACCAATAAGGGGCAGAAGAAAGGTTCCGACGGCATAAGCAAAGGAAAGGAGGATGCCTCCATCAAGAGAGCTGGCCCTCGAGGTAGTAGAGTGAGTGACAGAGAAGAAAAAGCTGCGGCCAGTCAGTTGCCTCCGCCTGTGGAGGATGCTATGTCTTGGCCAACCCCAGAGACAGCATTGGAGGAAGAAAAGCGCAAAGCGCAGGAGAAAGAGAAATCCGAGAAGGAAAAGGACGAAAGAGATGATAATGTCGCTTCAAATAAGCCGAGACCTAAAGAGAAGTGGGTTCCGGTGCCATATGTTCCTTCGGTGAACTTCAACACACCATTACCACCAAGAGGCGGGAGAGGTCGTGGAGGCGCTCGTATGGGTAGAGACACTACTGGGCGAGGAATCACCGGAGAGAAGGCAAACAATGGTTCAACTGCCGGCCCTGCAGGAGATCCCGAAAACCGCGGAAGAGGTATGTCGACTGCGCCTAGGGCTACTTCTCTCCCTCCCAATTCGGCCAAGAGGCCGTCAAGTGATATACGATCCCAAGGGAAATCCCCTGCTATTCCCACTAACGACAAATCAAAACCGGGTCAAACCAACCTTCCGGCCAAGAATCAGTCGAGCTCAAACTCTGATGCCCGAAGAACCTCCACTGCGGATCAAGCTTCAGAGGATCATCAGTCGGCTCGAGGAGATAATCCCAAAGGCTTCAACGCAGATCACGCACAAGCTGCTTCAAATGAGAACGGCCCACGATCCGCAGCCGCTGATCGAAAGGGCGAACAGGGCAACCAATTTAAAGAGGGTGCCAATTTCAACAAGGACAACAGTCAGAGAGCTGACGGCCGTGGAGATCGCGGCCGTGGGGGCTTCCGGGGTCGTGGTGGGCATAATGGGTTTGCAAATGGTCAACAGCATCCTCAACATGCATTTACCAACGGTCATGGACCACAACCAAATGGGTTTGCTGTTCGACAAAATTCGAACCCTTACAGCCCCTCCATGCAGCAGACTGCCTTCGGGAATCCATACACACAGGCACCAGCGAGAGGTGGCCGGGGTGGTTCCCGATCACAATCAATTCCTAACAATGGCATCTACGGTCGCTTCCCCAATGGTGCGCAACAGATAGCGCCACTTCAGACCCAGGGCATGTATGAATATCCGCCATTGCAGACAATGAGTGCTGTTCCATACCTTTCTTATGTCGATCAGTTCCCGCTGCTTGCAATGGTGACCATGCAGCTCGATTACTACTTCTCAATTGACAATCTCTGCAAAGATGTATTCTTGCGGAAACATATGGATTCCCAGGGCTTTGTGTTCTTGGCGTTTATTGCTGGTTTCAAGCGGATACAAGCCCTTACTCAGGACTTGGACATGTTGCGTTATGCTTGCCAAGAGTCGGAGAATATTGATATCATCAAGGGTGAAGACGGAATTGATCGTATAAGGAGAAAGGAGGGCTGGGAAAAATGGGTCTTGTCAATGGAAGAGAGAGATGAGTCTGTCCGAAATGCTGGTCCTTCGTATCACCAACGACAGCAGCTACATCAGAGACCCCAACACATGGGATCGATGTTAATGCCCGGTGCTCACGCAATTTCCCCGCCTGCCTTCTCCCCTAACGGCATGGAGTCCAGCTTTCGATCATATGGAAACGGCGCCCCTGTTGCCCCTGTGAACGGAAACACATACCACCCCGAGACCCCACTTTCAGCTGCTGTGCCAGACTTTTCTCCTGGCGCGCTTCCTCTCAATGGCACTACTGACCCCTTGGACGAGGAGACCACGTTTTTCGACGAGGAGATAGCGAATTTGAAGCTCGTGTTCGCTTCTCCCAAAGGCAATGAAAATTCCAAGGCAAGACCGGCGTATCATAACGCGTCCTCAAGAACCTTTTCGAATGGTTCGATCGATGTAAGATCGATTGCTGAGGAAATTCATGACGATTCCCGTCAAGGTCGAGGCCTGGCCAATGGATCACGTGCGTCCGAAACGTAAGATGTACTGTTTCCCGCGTTGAGTCCTTTGTCTGACTGATGATATGACAGCTCTCCTGACAGTTTGCGGCGCTCAAGGAGCCCTTTCGGTCCTCTTTCCCCTACGAGAACTACTTCCAATAACGGACCTCCAGTGATGTGGGTGAAGGGTCAAAGACAGCAGGCCCCAATACCGGAAGGCAATAAGGACGAGTTATATACAACCGTTCGCGCCAGAGCCTTAGAGAATCGAGAATCCTCTGCACCTGGCGAGACCCATCCTGATATGAAAGTTCTCTATGAGTTCTGGTCCCACTTCCTCTGCAGAAATTTCAATCCCAAGATGTATTCTGAATTCCGAAAATACGCCCTTGAAGATGCAAAAGAAAATGCTATCTATGGAGTAAAGAGTCTGATCTCTTATTATGACGAGATCCTCATCAGCAAGAAGAAAGTCATACCAGATGTTCTGGCATCACATTATGTCGAGCTTGTCAAAGATGAGAAGTCCAAGGCAGGACCTGATTCCGAGCGACCAGCATTTGCAAAGCTTCGATCCGCTTGGAGAAATGGTGCTCTCGATCTGAGGAGCAGAAAGAAGATTGACAACTTGGTTGATCCCAAGTTGAAGGAGGAACTGGAGCGATGATCTTGTCAAATCCTATTCTGGTTCGAGTACGGATTTTGGATCTATCTTCTCTGTCGTTGGTTGGTCACACATTATCACCTTCCTGTGTCCTTCCCATCATCACATAATCCTTCTCAGATATCCCGATCTATGGACTTGGCTATCAAGCCGTATCGTCCGTTCATTGGGTACTACCTACCATGTCTGCCCTCGTTTATATCGCATGCAACACGGCAGATACGATGGCTCGGACCTCACGTTGACTGTATTTACGAATTTTGATTGTGGTCTTCACACGGCGTTTGATAGGAGCTCAGAAGATCGGAGGTCCTGCCGGCATCTTATCGCGTATTCGTTCTCCCGTGCACGACAACCTGAGATCATGGGCATGGCTTTTCCCTTCATTCTGTTGCTTTACATGTTGATGCTTTTCGAGCGTAGCCTCGGCACACCACTCTCGCCCAAAAGTCTATGCAGCCGTCAGGTTATTGCCAGTAGACGTAATGCTTTTTTCTCGATAATCCATCTGCATGCATGTTGCGCTCTTTCCGATTAATGCTCTTTGCACACCCGAAAATTTGGCTTCTGCGAAAATACGATACCTCACGCATGGGAGGGGTCGGTGTTACATAAGATAGAAGAACGAACACAAAATTGTTGCACTGTACTATAGCAAAAACCCGGCAGCAATATGTTATAGGAGTTTATTGATTGGCAGATTGTGATGATTGATGGTGATCTGTATCAACATGATGTGCCTGACTTTGTGCCATACATTCCAGGTATCAACAACTCTCCACATGCGTTGCCCGACCAACTTTTCTTGGCCTGCACCCCTGCGCCAAAACCCTTCGAGAATACTCCGTAGAGACTGTCCACCTCACCTGGCACCTCGCATTTATTCATAAGCCAATCGAATGGTGAGATCTTCTTGACCGCTTCATTGTATTTCAGTGTGTCCGGAACATAAACTTATTACAGACTCACAGGACCGACCTCAATCGTCTGCGGGAAGCCATCTATTTACAGCATACTTTCAAAGTCAACAATCCGACGAGGTTATCTGCAATCCTAGCCAGTCTAGCCAGTAACAACGGCGATCAATTCCTCTCAGCAGAGCAAGCAATGCAAATTTTCGCCCTTATACCAGTCTTTTTCATCCCCATATCCGCCCTCCAAATCCCTCCCCTCCTCGCCCCCTTCTACGAGCCATATCTCCAAGCCAATTCCCTCCTCATCTCCAACGAGACCCTGACACCGAACTCTCACGACCTCCTTAGGCGCGATGGCGGTTGTCCTGCAAACTACGATTCATGCTCCACGCTCGGAGCAGCCAACGGGGGAGCCTGTTGTACAGCTGGCTCAGTGTGTACCTTCGATGGGGGAAGAAATATAGCCTGCTGTCCCATCGGAGCAAAATGTACCGGTCAATTGAGTATTGCTACAGCCACAACGACTGCCGCCGGCCTTACACTTGGGAGTGCAACGACGACAAGCCCTGGAGGCTTTATATTCGGCACGACGACGACACCTTCCAGCACAACACCTACGACAACCGGGAGCGCCTCCTTGGTATCAAATCCCTATTTCCCCTTCCCCTATATTCCGACTACCTACGCCAACTCCGTGGCTTGCAACTCTGCCTTCAGCGCCTGCCAAGCGAACTTTGCCGCCTGCACGAACGACCTTGTGGGAGACCGGTTTGGCGTTACGGTGGTGGCGCCAGGAGGAGGGGGCGTGACGGTTGCGCCGACGGCCACGAATCTAGGATCTATGTCCGCGGCCAGTATCTGTAGTAGTCTGAGCCAGGAGGCATGTTATGGGATCCAGAGCTCGAACTGCCCGCCTTTTGGGCCGGCTACCAATGGTGGGTTTGGGGTGCCGACGAATGCGGCACCGAGGCCGACACTTATGGCTGGGATGATGGCCGGGCTGGGCTTGGGCATCGCAGGACAGATGCTATAGGGGTTGTTGTCTTGACGCAGAATGTTTTGATGCGAATCTGTTGGATCATGCATAGCTATGGCGTCTTGGGCGGTATCATTCTTTCGAGCGTGGTTGCATATTGAGCTGTTTACGAAGTCATTGATGTGTTATGCGAAGAAAATACCAGACAGCGAAACATAATGTCAATTCTTACGAGGAATGCTAGGTCAAGTTGGCAGGACAGTTTATTAGAAGAGACCGTTAAGGCTTTCACGAATTGACGTCTTTGAGGTTCCATTATTATGCTATGTGCTAATAACTTTAACATTCCATCTCTCCCGATCTCAGGTCACATAAAAGTTATAGCTAAATCCACACTGTGTTTCCGTAGATTTCCGTGTGTACATTTATCACAATTACTGTACCGGATGAGGATCTGAGTCTGTGACTTACCTCAATGCTCGATAATGCCGTTATTGTTTGACATTTGAGTTCGGGCTGAGAACTTTAAGTATATGTGTGTTTTAGGACCCTCCCTCTCTTCAAGGCCCACGATTAGATTACCCAGCCGCGGCCTCCAAAACAAGGGCAAATTCTCCAACTCAACCCCTAAAAACCAACAGAAAGCAAATCCATTCCCAGTGACCCCGAAAAAAAGAGAAATAAAAAAAAAATAAAAAAACAAATGAACAGAGTGGGACTCGAACCCACGCCACTTTCGTGACCAGGAAACTGTATGCTAAGGAGACCTTAACCTGGCGCCATAACCAGCTCGGCCATCTGTCCGGGATTTGTTTGTATGTTCGGAATTCCATATCAGGCCATTTCGTGGGTGTTTCCGAAAAAAAAAAAAAAAAAAAAAACCTA